ACGGTTGCTTTAATGAAAACAAGTCATGTTTTTTGTAGGAAATTTCCTAAGCCATTAAATTGGTTTTGACAATGTTTTACGTAAACTTTACCATTAGGAAGATATTCACGAAAAACTGTTTTTTCTTTGAGATCTTTGGACCTGCGTAAACGGCGCCCGGATATATGTGAAATTTTCAGCTTCATTGAAACATCAAAATGAAGATATGAACTTTCCGGGAATTTTTCCGAAGTTTTGCCATTATTATATCTACAATTACTGGACTATAATTACTTTTTACAGCGCGTTTGATAGCGAAATTGTTTTTTGGACTTAAAATATTTGTTCATTGGCAACGATTTATGAAGCGATTCAAGCAACTTGAAATGAAAACATTGAGAATTTTAGAAGAACTATTTAAAATGTAATAAAATACGTGTGCCATTAAAGAGTGCATACCATTCGTTACAACTATTTCGACTGAATTATCTCTAAAACGGTTTATTTTAGGAAAAAATATTTGTTTCGGTAAAAATGTCTATTAAGGAGATATTCATGAAAAACTGTTTTTTGCGTCATTTGACCACCCGTTAAATTTTTAGCGGCACCAAAAGAAAATTATATACGACTTTTCGTTAATTGATGAATTTTGATGAACCATTAAAGAACTTACGGGTCGATTCTGAGACGATCTATAAGATCTGTAAGCCAAAATCTGTAAAAAATTACATTACATTAATATATCTTACAGATTCTATAGCTTATAGAATATTTCCCAGAATTCTATTATTAGATACAGGATGTTTCAAATTTTAAATCAAAAATTTCTTTTAATATATATATTTTTTTTTTTTCAAAAATAATCTACCAAGATCATGTCAAATACACGAACTATTTGAAATTTGACGCGTTCTGATTAGATTAGAATTTAGAAATATTGAGTCGTTAAATTATCTAAGTAGGTACCAGACTTTTGTTTAGAAGCAAATTTCTGCAACACCGTTCATTTTAGCTCCATATTTTTTAATTAGAAATGAACGGAGAATTGAAAAAAGTATAATAAAAAATAAAAAAAATGTTCTAGTGGCGTAAAAAATAGGGGGAAAGATTGGCACTAACCTTGATAGCGCGCCACTGGTTAAACTTTTCAAAAGTTAGTTTATGTCGAAGTATTACTTTCTTAAAGAGCACATTGGCCACCAAATTTTTAACACCCTGTAACTAAGCCCTTTAGAGGCCCATATTCCTATATCAAAATTCATGAATTAACAAGAGCTATGTGGGGCAGAGCGCTGTCGGTCGAATATACTACCACCCTGTATCAAAATCCAGCTTTCCGGGAATTTTTCCGAAGTGCTACGTCCATTATTATTGTATTATTATTCAAACTTCGTATGCAATAGATATGCACCAAATTTGTTTACAATGTAGTGATAAGTTTGAGATTACAAAATGAGTTCGAACTAGTAAACAATTCACAGCGTTATCAAATTGTCTAGAACATAAAAAAATCACTTATGATCCTAATTAATAAAATTGAATATGAAGTTATTAATAAAACATTTTTTTGGTCGGCAATCAAAATGATTCAGCCAAACATTGACTACATGCCAAGTCAATTTCGTTCAAATCCGCGAGGTTTCATGAAAAGTTTTAAACTTAATGAGAGTTAATTGAACAAGTACGCGACACATGGAAGAGGGTCTCTTAATTACTTATTTGTAATAGACGAACGACGATACATCAGTTTCACGATGACACTTCGATCCACAAAAGCGCAGTTTTAAAAATAAACTCCTTAATTTTGGTATTTACGGTTTTGTGTTTATGAGTCTTAGAAGTAATTAAAAACAACTACCTAATATTAGACATCCTGTTGGAATTTTGCCAAAAGTATGTTTTGTGCTAGGAAATTTCCGATACCCAGGAAATAAACGTTTCACATTTACTCGGCGCTTCACTTCGAGATGTTATATTAATTTTATGACAGCTACATGTAAATAAAACGTACATTTTGAAAAGGTCATTATTTCTAGTAAGGTGAGGGGGTAAGTACATGGATAGACATTGTAAGTTAAGAGTTTGATTCAATTTTTCATAGAAATAATCTGAAATTGCGTCTAACATATTAAAACTTTATGAATATCGAAAAAAATATTTATAATATTTTATTAATTAATTGATCTTGAAAATGCCTTTCTTGTTTAAACAAAACGGGTTAAGAGTTTATTTGGTCCTTAAAATTATTTGCTGAAATAATATGAAGATTAAAACTCTTGAAGATATTATATTATATTATATTATATAAAATATAGTAAAGAAACACCAGAAATGTTCGTGATATTTTATACAGGGTGTCTCATTAAGAATGGGACACAGAAAAACTGAAGATTCTCTGATTAAAAATAAGACGATTAAACGAAACATACGTATATAAAATATTGCTGGTTTCCGAAATACAGGGTGTTAAAGTTGAAAATTCAAAAATTATTAATGGCTATATTTTTTCTCAATATAATTTTTTCTTAATTCGGTAAACACGTTTAGTGTCATAAGAGACACCTATCAGCAGAACAATCAGTTAAATAAACTTTGCCACTGACATATGACATTGTTAAGTAACACCTTCATCACCTTTAAATTTTACGCCTCTGTGCAAAAACTTTAATAACAATTTCTTCAATGATATTCAGTTTGAGCATGATGGTCAGAAAACTCTTGTAAGGAATAGTAACAAACTAGCTAATAGTTTTAATAACTATTTTGGTAACAGTATAGATACTATTTTATCTAGTATTGAGGACGTTTGAGTTTGCTTGTTACATTGAAAATAATTTAATCGAATTTAGTTTGTTGAGTTTACACGAGTTAGGAGTATTGTGTCAAATTTGGATAGCAAGGGTTCGCAAATCGATACACTAAACAACAAAATTTTAAAAATCAGTTTTGATGTAATTGGCCATGTAGTGTGTCATTTTATAAATACTTCGTTGGATAAAGGTAGATTCCCTGATGAACTAAAAATAAGTACATAACTACAATTGAAAAGGATATCAGACACAAATAAATGTAATGAATTTCGGCGTATCAACACCTTACCTTGTGCCGATAAACTTTTAGAATTGGTAGTTTACAAACAACTGCGGGAATATTTTACTAAGAAAAACATACTTTTCATCAACCAATCTGGTTTCAGATCTCAACATTCGTGTGAATCAGCCATTCAGCTAACCGTCACTGAATGGAAAAATAATATGAGTAAAGGTAAGTATTCTTAGACCTACAACGCGCTTTTGAAACGGTAAACCGTGAAATATTACTTAGAAAATTAGAGATGTATGGAGTAAAGGTCACGGTATTGAACTGGGTCAGAAATTATCTTTCTAACAGATAACAAAAATTAATAATTTACTGTCATCACCTATTGATGTAAAACATGGAGTTCCTCAGGGAAGTATTTTGGGTTCTTTACTATTTTTAATATATGTTAACTACATAGAACATGTCAATGAATGTGAGTACATGCACCTTTTTCCTGATGATACTTTAATATCAGTTAGTGATAAAGACATTAATGTTGCCATGCAAAAAAAATAAGTCACTTCACAATATTACAAAATACTTAAAAACAAATAAATTAAAATTAAATGTTACCAAGACGAAAGGATAAAAATATAAATATGAATGAAGTCGTCTTTAAAATAGAAGACAATATTGTTGAGTGGGTAACAGAAATCAAATACTTGGGTTTTATGCTTGACAGTCATTTATCTTTCAATAGTACTTTTAATTATTTGCAAAAGAAAATTTTAAAGAAATTATATTTTCTTTTGAAAGTCTCACATTTAACCATGAATTCCAGGAAAACTGTATATAAAACTATTATTCAACCTCACTTTGAATATTGCCCTACCTTACTTTACTTTACGTGTTTGATTTAAATAAACTGAAATCACTACAAAAACTTCAAAACCGGGCAATGAGAACTATTTTAAGATGTAGCGGACTTACTCCAATATTCTAAAGGCTGGAGACCTTGTAGTGGTTATCCGTAGATCAAAGGCTTATGTATTTTATGTATTAATATTTTATATTTTTTAATTATCAAATTCACAATTACAATACAAGTTATATAAAGGGTTCTAAGACTCTAAATCAATTTAAAACTCATTTAAAAGATTGTTTATTTAAAAAAATATAGGTTATATTGTTATTAAGCTTAATTATTAAACTGGTTAATTTTAATTGTATCTTATAGTTTATATTGTTTTTTGTATTTTCTTTCTTGTTATAGCGTCTATTTTACTCATGTAAATTTAATTCTTGTATACATTTTTTTTGTATGAATTAGATTATTGAATTAATTAATTTTTTTTTGTATATTAGGTTGTATCCTACTTTCAAATAAAGATTATTATTAATCGAAAAAACGGCCAATCTAGCATAAGTACAAAGAACAAAACAGTAATCGCCATTTTCTTAAATCCCAAATTTTGGAGACTCGTTTTGAAAGAAGTTAAGCGTTTCCAAAATATTCTTCCACTCTGTCTATGTCTATATTTCTAAAAATAAATTCGGCAATCGAAAAACAAAATTTGAAAAGTCTAAACACTAAATTCTAAAAAATATAAAATTAAATTCAAAAATTCTAATTCCTAAAATCGATAATCAAAAATCAATAATTCTAATACCCAAAATCTATAATCAAGAATCAAAATTAAATTTTATGAAAGAAAAGTGAAGTGAGAAAAATCGGTTGAGAAAAAAACTGAAATGCAATTTTAGGAAATTTGAAAATGAATAATCCCAATTTCTCCTAAGAAATAATGAAAAATACACCCCATATCTCTAAAGTGAAAACAAACGTCTTGTAGGAATATGGGTTTTAGTTTTATTTCCAGTACCAGTTATCCAGTTCTTGGATCCAGACTACAGTGTAGACTGTAGTGGGTATAACAGTTAAACCTTTATCTTTCGAGCTTAATCATTATTACAATTTTCAACGAAACTTTATTTTTTAGGACGCTTTTAATGCGCGAAACAGCATTGAGAAAGCGACGGAAGGCCACAGAAGAACTTCTAGAATGGCACAAGAAGCTTTTAGAAGAAGAAAAGAGGATAGCCATCTTAGAATCGACCGCCAGCGCTATCGTTTCACAAAAACCTAGTACGTCCTCGTATCCGGAAAAGTTCAACTTTAAAGGGAAACAGTTAAATCAGATGTGGTTTAACGTTACTGATTCCGAAACCAAGAAGTTCGTCGACGATAAAATTTATCCCATGTCGCAAATGGCTTTGGAACGTTTCTGCAAAAGTGCTCGCGAATATAATAGCAAGTCGAAAACGTTATTAATGAAAAATAGTGATTGTAATATTAAAAATAGTAAAGTTAGTGTTAGCGAAAGCATTCTAACGCAAAAAACTAGTTCTGAAAAGGACTACATTTCGGATTTCGAAAACGATACGGTAGCTTCTCAAGATGATGTTGATCAAAGTATCGATATTTTAATTAACAACTATAACAAGGTACAAAGTGATATATCTAGTTTGAGCAGTTTACATTCTAAAAAATCGGATGAAGAAGAAATTTATAGCGAATCGCCCAAATTCGATAAAACTGAATCTGAAGCAGAGATATCTGTCATCGAAACTAATAAAACGGATGTTAAAGATAAGATCACTAAAACAAAAGGTTCCAGCTCTGCAGAAGAAATAAAAGATACTATCAACGAATCTATTCCTACGATCAACCAAGACGCTTCTGACAAAGCTAAAAGTGATATTTTATCGGAAAAATCTTCGAAAAGTTCGTCGATTAGTTTTGATAGAAACAGTAATTCGGAACTGTCCAACAGCGAAGAAATATTGAAAACATTTTCAAAATTGAAGTTTTCACATGAAGATTCATCAATTATTGTGAGCGAGGAACATGCAACTCAGAAAACAGAAACTGATATTTCAGATAAAGCAGAAAAAAATTACCAAAAATCACAGCCTATGATTTCAAAACATTCAACAGATCAACATCATTCAAATCAATTAAATACAAGCATATCAGACGATTTTGCTAAATCGAAACATTCTTCCTCACAAATAATTGATCAAAAATCAAGTACTTCAAATCAATCTACAGCCTCGAAACTATCACAAGGTGATAATTCTGCTTCTTCAACTGGTCCAGGGGATTTAGAAAGTTCGCAGATTAATTCCGTGATTGCTAGTGAGAAAACCAATCAAAGCTCTAAGAGGTTAGATCAAAATAGTTCTGATACATCGAAGTCCTTGAATAAATCCGAAAAATTGAAGCTTTCATTAGAAGATATATCAGTTCTACAAAGCTCCTCTAAAAACAAATCATCCCTTAGTGAAAAACTTAGTGTCATAAAATCTAAATCGGATGTTTCTAAAGAAAAATCCTCATCAGTTATTTCTGATAAAACATCAACTACAAGAAACTCAGCAAAATCAAAAACATCCTCAGATATCAACAGAATTATCATACTTTCAAACATATCTATAGAATCGAAATCTAATGATTTTGCAGATGATCAAAGTACTGAACTTATTCTCAAAACTGATCAAATAAATTCTGATAATTCAAAATCCAATATTATTTCCAAAAAACCATCAGAGCCACTGGTTTTAACCGAACAAAAGAGTGAAGTACTGGAGATCCAGCAAAATATATCAGAAAAAACGAAATCTGACATAGACTCCAAAGATTCATCGAAAATATATGTTAACCAGCCATTTGTCGAAGATCACGTCAGTCTACAAAAATCTTCATCAAAGCTAATTTTAACAGAAGAAAAAGACACCATTGACGAAATTGCTTCTGCAATTTCTTCAGATTTGAGTTCAATTGATATGCCAAATAAAAGCTTTTCAGAGGAACGATCAAAAGAAATTATTTTGGAACTAATAAAAGAAGATAAAAATAACTATCAAGAACTGACAGAAGATGTAGCTCCAATTGCGGTTGAAACTAAGGAAAGTCTAAACGAATCTCAAGAGATTCTCCTGATTTTGGGAGAATCTGAAGTGAAAACGAGTTCCGATGAAGAAATGCCGGAAATTCAAATAAAAGAAAGTCTGAATACGTCAGAAGAAATCTTATCGAAATTGAATAACACAGTCGAAGAAGAAAAACCAATTTCCAGATCTATTGATTCGAGTAAAATTGAAAAAGACAACAGCGATTCATCGAAAATGTTCGAAAATTATATTTTACAAAACTCTAAATTGGAAAGTTATAATGACAGTAATGAAGATAGAAAATTGCAAGAAGAAAAAGACGATAGTGATAAACTTTTAATTTACGATTTTTGCGAGGATTTAGTGGAAAGTAATGTAGATGAAACTTTCGAAAATCACACTAAATCACAACGTAGTTTTATCGATGCCGTCAGTGAAGATTTCGATAAAGAATCCGCTAATGTCGGTGAAGAGCTCAAAGTTGCAAAAGAAAAAACTTCGACGAGTGATGATATTGATGACAAATCTGCATCGAAATGTTCACAAGAACCAAATATGGCTTTCAAAATCGACGAAATCGACGAAAACAATGAAAACCAAACATTCTTGAACAATTTAGTAGCTTCCTCTACGGAAATAAACTTTCATCAAGATTCACATGATGATAGTGATGAGAGCAAATTTGCGTTTTCTGACAAATCTAACGAGTCATTCGTAATTAATGATTTAAATGATGATTCAAATGATAAATTTGAAGAAAATGTATTATCATCAGAGAAACTAATTAATGAATTAAAAAATAACAAAAACATTGAATCTACGTCTGTAGAAATAGAAGACAAAGACACACCCAGAGATAAAAACAACAGTTACAGTTCAATAATGGAAAATCCAGAAGAAGAAAGTGAAAATAAAACTACGTCCCATTTCAGTTACGGCGTTTTATTGAAAACTACAGAAAAAGAAACTTCTGATTCATTCGAGACTGATCTTCCGCCAAGCAAGGAGGAAGTAAATTCTTTTGAGGAAAAAGAACACGATTCTCTATCTTCCGCGAACGGTGGTTCATATAGCGAAGCTCTCAATTTTGAAGAACAATCTTTAGCGCCGAGCGAATCATCTAAAACTGAAGAATCGTCTTTTAAAGATAAATCTAACAGTAAAGGTTCTGAACAAAGTGTTAGCGGTAAATCTAAGAGTAAGACAAGCGAAGAAAATTCTTCTAAAGACTTTGGCATAGATGTGAAGAAAAGGGTTTCTGAAATTTTGGCCGATACAAATGTATCTAGAGGTGATAAGAGTCCTAGATTGCAGGATCTGTATGTTACGACATATGATTTGATATCTCCTGCAAATTCTCCAGAAAAAGGTAACGTTTCTGTGTTTCACACTTTTTATTTTTTGGTAATTTAGTTGTTTCTGTCGTAGATTCGTCTAGTCCAAAAGATGGTCATAAGTTAGTGTCCAGCATATTTGATAGTGAAGCTGAAGAAATATTAAGGAAGCAATTGGCTGTAGAAGAAGAGGTAAGCCAATTTTTTTAGAGAGTCGAAATATTATGTAGTTCTATACATTTGTTCCCGTTTTTACTTTAGTCATGAATTGAAACGTCTATTTTATTTAAAATTTTATTATGTAGTCTATTAATACAAAAAATTCCAAGTTAAAAGAAGTAGAAAAAAAAATCGGTCGGGGAAGATCTCGGGATTTTGTAACTTCATTAACTCTGGATTGTTTAAAATAGGCAATAAAACCTTCATACAATTAGCTATAGCAATGCATCGGAATTTTTAATCCCCTTTGCGTAAAAATGATCAATAATGGTCTTTAGCTTTCTAAAAAAAACCTTCATGTATCCGTTTAATTATGAATTTAGAAGCAAATTGGTATTAAAATACTATTATTGTTTATTATTAGAGTTCATAAGCGCCAATAGAATAATAACAAATGGGTACAAACAAATAATACATGAATATTAATTGCATAAAATAATATTAACTCGTGGAAGATTAGTTGAAAATGCTTTAAAAAATCCAGGATTTCTTTTCAACATAAAAGATTAAAAATGCCAGGAAGATTGAAAGTAGCGCATTACTATAATTTCCTTACTTTTTAAAATGGGCGAAAAGTAATGTGTCACTGCCAAAGTGAAGCGTTTCCTACTGCTATTGCAGAAGTAACTCGTTACCAACAAGTAAGGAGTTACTTTAAAACTAAGGTTTTTATTTCTGCTGTTGCTGTTTAAAGTGAAATACTTTTTTTATTAATGTCATTAAAAAAAAATTCTCAATCACACAACAATAATAATAATAATAATAATAATAATAATAATAATAATAATAGTGATGATAAATGGTGAGTAATTTATAAGGACCTACAACATCATACTCTGTATCAATATTTATATTGTACTGAGAGCAAATTAATATACATACTTCGTCTTCATACATGTTAATAAATCACATTTTGTGGTAATACTCTAGCGTTCGTATCTTCGCTTATTTAAAGTAAAAATAAACCTAAAGTCGCTGAAATTGTATTTTACACTAATATAAACAGGATTATTTTGCTACTCTATTATTATGAGTAATAAAGTTTCTTGGATGCATTTTTGAACAATATAACCTTCATTTTTCCTTTTTTGTTCTATTAAATCGAAAGTAGTAAAGATGTAAACTAACTTTTTTATTTATTTTCGAAAGTAACAAGTTATTAGAATTTCGTTACTTTTAAAGTAACGTGTTACTGAAAAACTAACGCATTAGGGAGATATTGCAAGTTCACTTAAGGACAATCACTATTAGCGCCGCTCTTATTTTGACATCTGAGCATGCGCAGATTGTTTACGTTCTAGAACTGACTTTATTAAAGATTGTGCCTGTCCTTAATTGTGGATGTTTAAGGGCAGTATATAGTGGCGACTTTATAGCTTTCGGGAGCGCTCGCTAACATTCGTATAGGTTCGAAATGTTCTAATATTATATATTTATTAACATCATCTAAAACCTAGAATGGCCATTTATTATACCTATTCCATATTATGTACTATTATAGACAACAAAGATGAACTATAATTTAAAGTTATTAAAATGAGGTTAGAAATAAGTATAAGGACAAGGATTCTAATGTCAAAATTTCTGATTTTAGCACGGAATTTATTTGACTGTAATTACGTTGTCACTATTAGTGGCTGGCGTTATAGAAATTTGCAATATCTCTCTATTATTGCAAATGAAACTTTACTTTAAATGTAATAAAGTTAATTAAATCGTTACTTTTTCAAAAAAGTAACAGTAACAATATATTTAACGTGTTACTTTGCAGCAAAAGTAACGCCCGAGAATAACAACCACAGAGAAACGACAATTAGGCATTCCAACGGCCTGTCAAACAATGCGCTAGTTTAGTGTGATGTCATTGTTGTTCCACTGACATTTAATTCTAACTAATCGTTTAACAAAAACATCAATTAATTTGACATATACGTTTATACTATTTTTAGTTTATTTCTAAATATTGTTTACAGGACATAAAAAATAGTTTAAAGGCATGTAATTTGTAACTAAACGATTGTATATTTGATGCATGTTATCTACTTGCTTTAGGAATATATTTTTAAAAGTGAAAAAATGGTAAAAAAAACGAACAAAACGCACTTAAAAAAATCTACTGTCACTTTGATTCAGTGGAACCATAATTACATCATCACTAAACTAGCATATAGTTGACAGTGGGAAGGGCTCGTAAATTTAAAGGAGGTTGCGACATAGCCTTTCATCTTGGACGCTATTTTTAAATAGTAGTCAAGCCTGCGAATTTATAGAAATTAGAGAGTTATTGCAACTTCACTTAAGGTCAGTCACTATTAATGACGCTCTTATTTGGATATCTGAGCATGCGCAGATTACTTACATTCTAAATCTGACTTTAATAAAGATTGTGCCTGTGAGGTTAGAAATATGTTTAAAGAACAATTACTCTAATGTCAAAATTTCAGCTTTGCTAAAAGTCTTATTTTAGCATGTAATTTATTTGCCTCTATTTGTCACTATTAGTGGCTGACGTTATAGAAATTTGCAATATCTCTATTGTATAAGCGATTTTTTAAAAATAATATTTTCATTGTGTTCGACATAAAACATTTAAATGTAATCCATTGTTCATGATTTCTCGTATTGTAGATAGAATACATCATAAGTCGCAACCCTTTAGGTCCGTATTTATAAACAGAACTTTCCTAAGTCGGACTTGGGTAAGTCGTCCTTGAACTAAAATCGAAGTTCGGTTACAACGACTCTAAAGTTCTAGGTGGTTCTGTTGTTAGACTGGAATTTAGAGATGGATATTAGCAAATCTGTAACTGTTATGTACATTTACGGATTTGTTACTACCCATCTCTAAATTCACGCGATATAACCGAACTTCGATTTTCGTTCAAGGACGACTTATCCAAGTCCGACTCAGCTGAGTTTTGTTTATAAATACGGACCTTAGACATACCAAACCACAACATAATGATGTACCGATGATGGATCACGTGACCTTACTTACTTACTTACTTACTTACTTTAGAAATCTTTATTTACAATTTAATAATAGTATCTACATGTCAAGTCAAAAATTATTATATTCACACTACCGAGTCCTTAGACTTTTCGTGCAGGTCAAAAACCAGGGTGGATAAATCCACCCACAATAATTCGCTCAACTAAATGTTTGAGAAATATATCAGGCCTCACTCCTTACCTGTTCGGTATTATTAAGGGATTGTGGTTTTATTTGGAAATCGGTAATGGAGAATGGTGATAGGATATGTCGTGTTTTAGTTATGTCTTTTTGTCCCCTGAAAAAGCTAGAAAAAACAATGTTGTCCTTGTGTGTGTGTTGGTATAGTCTTTGGTTTGTATGTACATTTCACAGGCCGATTGATTGATGACCTTCCAACCGCGTAACAGTCGCGAAATTGTGAGTTTCGCGTCCGCTTCACCTTTGGCCGGTCCACCGATCAGTCATCCGTCCGACTGAATTGGGCGAATATCTGGTCGGTGTGAAATGGTGTTTAGTATTGTTTAGGACAGTTAGGGAGGATGTTATTGTCTATTTCTGTTCCTGTAAATGTCTAGTTTAGCGTGGATACAGCCGTGTTTCCTACGCACGTTGTCGCCCCGATATATGCTTAGGATATCGTCCCTCACACTATCGGGAAGGCATCGCTTATAGAAATTTTCGGCTGTATTGAGAATATAGTCTTTAATTAAGGGTATGTCTGTCTGTCTGTGCATGTCGAGAATTCTGGCATATCGGTCGTATCCCAGAGCTAGCCTCAGACATCTGTTTTGTGCTACCTGTAATTTGCTGAAGTGAGTGTTGGCCGTAGAACAAAACACTGGACATCCATATGTCAGGATTGGTCTTATGATTGTTTTATACATGAGTAGCTTGTTTGCCTATGTTACTCTACTTTTCCTAATCAGGATTGGGTAGAGGGTTTTAATGGCCGCATGGATTTTGGCTACTCTGTCCTTTATGTGTTGGTCGAAGGTTAACCCTCCATCTAATACGAAACCTAGGTACTTCATTTTGTTGCTCGTTACAATCTCGTCATTTGCAACTTTTAAGGGTGTATTGACACCCCTCGATCTCCTTTTTGTAATTAGCATACTTTCAGTTTTATTTGCATTGATATTCATTTTATTTTTCTTAAGATAGGGATTAACCTTCTGTTAATATGAATGTCCAGCGTCCTGACTGCACTTTCGGCCGAGTGATTGCTTTTGAAGAGGCAGATGTCATCGGCGTACAGTGCCGTTTGTACCCCATTATTACCCATTGGTATGTCATGGGTCAAAATGGAGTACAAGTGGGCGACAGTACTGAGCCCTGAGGTACTCCCGCCTGCGCAGTGTAAGGTCATGTGGTAGTGTTGTTTATTTTAACGTTGAATCGTCTGTCAGTTATGTAGGATTGAATTATTTTTACAATGTGAACCGGAAAATCATTCACAAGCATTTTGTGAATTAACCCACAGGTCCAGACGGAATCAAAAGCTTTTTCGCTATCCAACGCCACTAGCACCGTTTGCTTGTTGACATTTGTGGCCTCTTTGGCATGGTGAACTATACGAATAATATGTGCAACGGTGCTGTGTCCGCTTCTGAATCCGTACTGTTCCTGAGGGATAATTTGTAGTTGGTCTTCTGTATTCTTAAGTCTCGTTAAAATTATTTTGTCTACTACTTTTGATAATGTGTTTAGCAGCGAGATGGGCCGGTAACTTTCGATTTTGTTTGGGCTTTTTCCTGACTTTAATATCGGTATTATGTTTGCAATTTTCAGGCAGCTTGGGTAATGTTGCAGCCTGAAAATTGCATTTATTATATAGTTGAGCTGTACTACCCCCTTTTTTGCTATGTTTTTAATTAGGATGTTACTGATGTCATCAGGTTCTGGAGCTTTTCTATTTTTGGGGAATTTAATTGTCTCCACCACCTCTTTAGGAGAGGTGTAAAAAGAGTGAGGTACGTGAACTGGACCCGTTTCCTTAAGGTTGTTAACTAGTCTTTCGATTCTATTATGTCGAGCATTGTTTATTTGGTTATTCGTGAAGTTAGCCTGAAAGTGTTCACCGAAGGCTTGAGCTTTCTCGTTGTCCGTTGTGAGTACGTCTTGTCCTTATTTAATTGTAGGAAGTTGCGAGTTAGGTTTTTTGTACCTTCTCACAACCCCCCACAATGAGTTGTCTCTAGGATTGATTTCGGACAGGGTCTTTTGCCAGACATTATTTCGATGTTCGTTAATTTTCGTGTTTATGTACTTGGCAATAAATGGCCGACTGCTGCGCTGCAATCATGATTTTTATCGGATGGAAATTATTTGAGAAGGACTGACATTTGTGATTTTATAATCTTAACTGTCAAACTGTCTTTATTTAATGAAAACAAATAATTTGAAGACTTTTTGATAAGCATAAAAACTAAAGACAAGTACGGGCAATACAATAATTGAAAAAATATGTACCTGTCTTCATTTGCTTGCTGTATATCTAACGCTAACAATATTATTTTAAAAGTTAGGCCACTTATAGGTTGGTTTATATTATTAGAAATTTTAAGCAAATTTTTCCTATTTCCTTATCTGTTTAATATTAATTAATCATTGAAGGTTAAGTCACGTGATCCATCAGTGCATCAACATAATCGAGTTGATGGATTTGGTGCGAACCATCTGAGAATTAGGTTAAATTTAAGAATATGATGTATGACCCATCTAAAAAATTTGGATGGATAAAAGAACAGTTTTGATGAAATCTAGATGGCATCGATGAATATTAGAAAATCCTATTTTGTGACCTTGAATTTGACTTGTTATAATATGCCTAGAAAAAAAAAATAATGGAGTTTAATAAATGCTATACACTGAGAAAAAATAAAATTGGAATTGAAAATACTATTTTACCTTACTTATGTATTTTAATTTAATTACCGTCGTCTTATTTCTAACTACGTGGTTTAACCATCGACGCTGGTGAGCACTATATCCCCAAATATCAGAAATTTAGCCGAATCTTCTGGTGTTCCAACCAGAACAGAGGTAGGGATCTTTAATGAGCCCGAAGGCTTCGCATCTCCTCCGAAAAATAGTCGACCTCGCGCTATACCTCGTACTCATTGATATAACGCCTATCTGCTATGGTATACAACTACGCGAGCAGTTTGTTCGGACGTAAGCTGACTTTCGTTGAGATGGTCCTCATACAATTACTAACTTTGCTCGGCCTGGCTTGACTGCTGCTGACAGCCTCAAGATGCTAATGGTTTACAAGTTTGTACAGAAAGTGTTGGTCAGCGACTAAACGAACATAATTGGAGACCTAGAATTACTGCTAGAAGTCTAGCTTTAACTAGAGTTCATCGGAGAGAGATGCCCCAGCAAACATTTTGGTGTAATTTGACGTCGATACTACCTAAATTATATATAATAAATTTGGTCGCAAAATTAGATTTAACCATAATTAAGTAAAATTTACGTTGGTTCGACGTGGATTCGACATAAGTGGAGAATAAGACGACGTCGAAATTTGGTTTTATTTACCAAAATAGGTAGAATTACATCTAAATCCACATTGTAGTAGCCCAGTACTTTTGGTTAGTAATACCTCTCTAGGGAAATTTGACGTCAGTATAACGTTAATTCGACGTTAATTTAACTAAGTTTAGGTAGAAACTACCAAAATATTTGCAGATGACGTATGCCTCCAAGTGTACGAAAAGAAATTTTATACTTATTTGGTATTTTTATCTATATATAAGTAGAAATATTGTAAGAAGTCACCAACACAACTAAAACATATACCTAATTCACATGAAAGATTGAAAATAAATAAATGTCAGTGACAAAAATATATGTAATGTAATTGCAGTGAATATACAGTTCACGCTTGTTGAAATTAATGCGAAGAAAATTTTGTCGTGCATGTTAACAGTGCTACTTAGAAAAATAACAATGCCCTTCCAAAATACTCTCTAATTAAAAAATATAAGAAAAATATATGATCGTGTAAAAAAATAATAATATTATGAGCTAAAACTATGTTACGTTTGTTGTGTATCACTTTAGAAAATCAATAATGTTTCGTTTTTCGGTATTTTCATTCGTATGTTCTAGTTATGGTCATTTTAAAAATTTAAAATTTGGAATCGTACTTCAATTACGTTAAGAAAATATGGCGTATTGTGCGAATTCGACCTAAAAGTTATTATGACTAAGAAAATCTACGTATTTTACAAATACCTTTTTATTAAGTTGAATTAACTTCAATTTCACGACATATTAGTTAACTTTACCTATTTAAAGAAATAATAACTTATAGGTTTTATAAAAAATTTACCTATAGGTAGATATAACATATTTAGGTCACGTTGTTCTGCACTTAAGATTTTAGACGTTTCACTTTACGATAAAAATCGGAAGTATAACGATATGATTTATTATTTTTCAAACTCATTTTATTAATTATTTTTCGCACTCATTTAAAGCTCTATCTACACCACACGTAAATTAAGATTACGACTGTAATGGTTTTTTTAAAATGGCCGAAATTCTTAAGAATAATGACGAAGACAGTAACTGAACAACCTAATTGTTAAAATAACCTAAATAATATAAATTTTACAAATATGTCATGTATGACTCTTTTTAAATTGGTGGTTTTTAGTCGAATTTACTTTGTGGTAGATTTTTCAGGTAATTGCTACAACAAAGTTAATAAATATTTCTTCAAGATGACTTATAGGTCAACTAAATGAGTATTCGACTATTTGGTTGAAATTAGGTAGATAAACAGGTAGAATTTTGCTACGATCTCGACCTAATATTACTTTAAAGGAGAGTAAATAAAAGCGGCCAAATAGGTTACTATGGAGGCATAAAATTACGTAGAATTTTTAACCAAATCTACCTGGTTGGATATTCTACTATAAAGACGATTTTTAGTTGCCAAACAGGTAGATATTACCTAAATATGGCACCTAATTTTACTACAAAGGAAATTTAACTTTGAAGCAATTGTTGGTTATTTTTTTTAGTAGTTTTTCCCTTGCTGATATGGTTAAAGTTACTTTTAAGCAGATTTGTGTAAAAGGTAGATTTCTTGGTATAATTTACGTAAATTTAAATATAAATTAAAACCGTTTGGTAAATTTACATTAGAGGTATATTTTTCTAGTCAATTTTACGTAATAATTACCTTAATAAGTAAATTCGTCTTTAACAAAGTCGAGTTATAACTAATGTTATAGAAAATGTTTGCTGGGGCTATTTTTTTTCCGGGAACATCGTAACTAGTTAGAGGCTGAATGGCACCATGTATTATTTACGGATTAGTCCCGATTTTGTTTGTACAACAATGACATGCATATGCATGTATATCGACTCCCTAACAAGCAATATGCTGATTCAAATGACTTTTATTTTAAGTATAGTCCATCGTTGCCAAAAATACTCGTTTAACTTGTTTCTTTGGACTTCGTTTCGTTTTTTTGTTGTCAAATTTGGATAATAATTTTCAATAAAATCATGTTATGTTATAAAATGGTGTTTCTCGTGAAATAGGAACGATAATGGAGAAAATACAAAAACAAAATGTTGAAAAATGATAAGGCTAAAGTGTAATTTTAATTCTAACTTGATAATGTAACTGTTAAACTCTACAGGGTGTTACAAATTTTATAAAAAAAAACATGCTATAATTGCTACACCAGGTATTTTTAAAATAATTTTCTATGGGAATATAGTTTGCACACCAACGTTCAGGAAGAGACAACCTGTCAGTCAAAAAGTCCAAATAGAACAAGTGGTTTTGACAAAAATGTACTTTAAACTTTAGGCTACGTTTTGATGGTGCGTTAATTTCTTGGGAAAGTGTATTACCACCATTCCGAATCCACTTAAGTACTTAATCTGTTTGTGATAAAACATTTTTTATAATTTTTTGGATTAAATATTTTGGATACTACTTTTTTTTTAATTTCAGATAAAAGCAATCACCGAACAACAGCAAAAAGAACAACAGCTCCCTCTAATGTACATACGCGAAATACCGAACAAACCCCCACCTCCATACACACCACCTTCATCTCTAGCGCCTGTTCCTGCACCGACGATAATTCCTACCTCCGATGAAATAGAAGAAATCACCTTGTACTCAGCAAAAATTCTGCATAAAGCGTACCTCTCAAATAACCTCGCAAACGTCAGCATCTCTAATAATACTTTAAGCCTAATATCTAAAGATATCTCAAAAGACTGTTACAAATTCGTTTTTGATCTCTGCAAAGACATAGCCCGCGAACATTACGAACGATTCGAAGAAGACAAATCACCAGATTGGTTGCACATATCGAAGAAATCGGAACTCACCCTCATAAAACCTCTGAACACGGAAGGTTTGAAAAACCACATGATCGCAAAACTCAAAGAGATTTTCGGTTACCAAAAGCATAATAGAAGAGAGAATGCCATCATCAAATGGAGCAGGAAGAAGCGCGACCACGTCGATGAAATTTTAGTGATGGAGTGTCAGCAAGAAGAAGCGCAATGGACGAATTATCAAAAAGACGAGTTGCTAGTTAAAGATCAAATTACTAATGAAATATTCGATAGTTTACTGAAGGAGACTGCAGCAGTTTTTAAAAAAATATTCTCAAAGATGAGTTGATTGCATTGTAATGCCGTTTTGTCAGTAGGATATCGCGACAGATGCTTTCTTTTAGTTGTCGTCCTTTTATTCTCTTTTTCAGATTAGCTAAAGGCATTTTGGATCAGGAACCTACTTTTCTTTCAGTTTTAGTACACTTTTTTAAGTGGAGTTTCTACAAGCGTATTATAAAATAAGTAATATGAATTTAATGCATTCTATTTTTAGCAAATTAAGCTAATAACGAAAATGATCAAAGTTATTTGGTGGAATATTGTTTTTATGTTTAAAACACCTCCGTATTGTTGGTGTAAGATTGATAACCTTTTTTTGATGGAATTGTGACAATTTGTACCCTAATACTATCTTTTTATTGTTTTTTTAACAGATACATCTAATCTATAAACAGACTTTTAAAATTTTTCACTTTACTATTTTTTATATTAAAAAATATTGTTTGATCTGTGAGAAATAACGAAGTATGATATTTTTACTTTATTTTCAGTTTTTTGGTTTATGAGGTGTGGCTAGAAAAAAAAACGGATTATTGCTATAAAAGTAGTTTTTATTCGAATGTAACATAAAATGTCGTTTTTCGGACAGAAAACATAATCGAATAGGAGAACTTTTAAATATACTACAAATGAACTACCTACTAAAAAATAGTTTTAGGGCCGAGGCCTCAAAAGTAAAGCGGCTCCGCTGTCTAAACATTGATTTACCTTTTAATACTGTTGACGATATTTTTTGCTAGTGTAAAATAGTAGTCCATAATCCATGAATAAAAACATTTTTAATTGAATAAGAGAAAAACTAAATAAAGTATAATTAAATCGATTTGACATAATCACACTAAATGACAGCAATTGTTATCAAGAATGTACCTAGTCATTCTTATCGATCACAGCCATCTCAGTTATAAGAAAAATTGGAAATTATATCATTTTGGATTTAATTTTCTTTATTTTTTTAATATCTATAAGCACATTCGAATAAAAAATAATGTATGAAACAGGTACAAAAAGTGTATAGCAGTTTATGTTATTAAGACGAAAAGTTGAGATTTTCGGGCGACTACGACAAGATTGCCATGCGAGAACTAGTCGAGCTTAGCAACTCGTAAGAGTCCGAAAATAAACTTTTCGTCAGAGTTCCATACATTATTTTTTATTCGAATTTGCTTATAGATATTAAAAGAATATAGAAAATTAAATCCAAAATGATATTATTTTCAATTTTTCTTATAACTGAGATGGCTGTGATCGATAAGAATGACTAGGTACATTCTTGATAACAATTGCTGTCATGTTAGTGTGCTTATGTCAAATCGATTTATAGTTTATTTAGTTTTCTCTTATTCAATTAAAAATGTTTTTATTCAACAATAGCAAAAAAATATCGCCAGCAGTATTAATTAAAAGGTAAACTGAAAATAAAACGGAATGTTCAGATAACAAACCTGCTTTACTTTTGTGGCCTGGGCCGTAAAAGTACTTGAAGAAGTTCATCTGTAATATATTTAAAAGTTCTCCTTTTCGATTATGTTATCTGTGAAAAATGACGTTTTATGACACATTCGAATAAAAAATCGTTTATTACTTTTGTGAATTTTATCGTTATTGGCCATATAGGAATGTTTATGATCTCTGTTGCTTTTTCTTTGACAGCTCTAATGTCTCAAATTTGATTCCTTTTAGTGCTGATTTGATCCTGAGTAATAAAAAAGTTTCATAAGGCGAGATCCAGCGGTTAAGGTGGATGTTTTAGTACAGGAATCTGAAAAACCCAAATACTTAATCGAATGTTTTTTTTTAAATAAACCATCGATCTTTTCAATACTTGTGTCTGTTTTTGAGGTGCAAGATCATTGGACACAATTTTACTTTGACGACCCCGTCGTTTGTCTACAAACTGATCAATCCGTTATTTATATTTATAATGATTATATTTCGTTGACTAATAAAGTCTAAACAATAAAATAGAATGCCTGGTTCATAAAACTGAATATTTATTATATTGAATCGATCGTATCATAATTTTGCGAGGTTCGAATTTATTTCATATTATCATTTTTTGCACAAAAAAAAAACTTTAGCTGAATTAAAAGAAAAGCATCTGTTGTTACTCAATGTGATTATTATATTAATTATTTATTAATGGCCATAAAATAATGTAAACGAACAATATTCTCAATTTTTATTTAGAATAGGAGTTAAAGAATCTCATACTTTTATAAAGCCCCCTGAATCGAATGAATCAAAAGACATAAAATAAGATTATGGAAGAGATTACTATTAATAATGATGGTGAATTAGTAGCAATAGTTGCTACTTAAAAATAAGCCTAAAAAAATGTATAAATCTTACTATGTATTGTTAACTTGTTTTAAAATAAAATGGCTTGTGTTAAACAAAAAACAAGTTAAAAAATTTGTTTTCAAAATAAATCCAGAATTTTTCACATCTTTTTTTAGTTTTACAATTTTAACCAAAATATCAGTATTTGACTATTTAAAATATTAAAATTTATCTTTTATTTGTTTTTAATCTTAAATTCTGATAATTTCAAATAGTCCTGTTTATCACATCTTATGAAGCGGATTGCCAAGTTTTCTTGTATCTTTTTACAGGACATCAAGACAGTTTTTTGTCCTTCAAATATGAGAGCTTTATTTTTTCTTAATTTTAGACCTCCTCTTTGTGCCGCAATTAATTTCTTTATGGTCAAATGCATTTAATTGTACACGAAAAAATGCCAAGGAATCAAGAAGAATTGATGACTTGAATATAAGCGGTGTAAAAGATTATTTATTTTCGTAAAGATAGATTTTCTGTTAGGTGATTGTGCTATTACCTACTGCTTTATTTTCCCCATTTCATTAAAACATGTACTTACCACACTTTGTCTGTGACAGACAGAGTTAGCCCACCGAAATTTTGTACTCTCTGTGGCAAGCAGTGTCAAGTCAGAAATATTTTCATGAAAACGATTCTGAAAATATTATTTTCATTACATAAAACAGCGACTAGACAATCAATTACTCAAAAATGCTATTTGGTTTATAATAATAATACTAATAATTTTATGTACTTTAATAAAAATTTGATAAAATGATGGTTATAGTAATTAAAAATATATACCTGTAAAGCCATGTTGTTGTATGTAAGATTTAAAAACAAAAAAAAATGTCTCCATTGGCTTTGGTGCGCTCGCTCTGTTGCGCTCTTACTCACATCTAACACGTGTGTGCTAGCAAGAAGACAAAACGTACAACGATGGTCTAATTCTAATACCCCTTAACTGCTTAGATAGGTATTTTACAGGAGAAGCTTTTTTTAGTTTATAAGTACTAACTACGATTGCAATACGGGTTACTTAAATGGTCATATTTCTCGCGCCAATTATTTCCGAAGCCAATATGGTGTGTTTCCACTTATGACAGATTAAACGTACAATCGAATAGCACGAAAAAACAAAAATTAAAATTTATGCAGATACGGGGTAATAGAGTTAGTTAGACCCTCCTTAACATGAACGCAAATATCATTGAAAGGCGCATGATTGTTAAGTAAAATGGGAGAAAAATTCAAAGAATATTAAGAGAAAAATTTTGATCAAAGAAACATTCCATTTTTGCACCTTGTACTTTTATAATCGTCTCATACAAAAACAAAACAAAAATCCACAATGTTTTTTGTCCTTGTTTTTTGTTATTTAATAGCAACTTGTTTCAATATTGAAATATCAATACACATTTGTGATGACTAGATGTTTGTTTAATACAAAACGTAGAGTTATTTATTTGAAAATATCAAGTAATGCCATATACTGAGATATTTTAATGTCTAGTGCCTTTATTAAACAGGACACGGCTTTATTTATGGGAATACAAAGCGAACCAACCAATGTACCGCCTTCATAAATTTAAAATTTTTTAGATTGTCAAGTTTTACATACTGAAATTTTATGAAAAAAATAGAAAACATTATTTTTATTAAAAGAAACAAAATGTGCCTTGAATGAAAAAAGTAATATCTATTTTCCCCAAAAATATAAAAAGATATGTGAATGTACAATTTGTTTATAAATAAGATATATAATTACTTACTTATCAAGAATTTATCGAAACTTGTATAACTTATAAAACTTGAATGTTCTGTTATAAGAAATATATGGGGTGGCTACTATTTAATTGAAATATATTACTCTCAATTTCACGACTTTTTGAAATCCAAAATCTCAGGGTCCTGTTTCAGACATATTCGGTAAAAATTATTCAACTGCAGTATTTTTATTTTTAAGAATAGAATAGTATATTTTGTAACAAGTAACAGACTATACTTCCTCCACGGTCACAGACACAGTAGGAGTTGAATATAGTAAAATGAAATATTTAATCTAACTTATGTTAGGCAAGTTTTTACTTAAATAATTTGCATAATTTGTCATATCAGGAGAAGTATTATGAAATTCCATATCAGAATCATTATATTTACTCATTTTTGAATTTAAGTTCGACTCAACAAACTCTGCTTATCTTTATTCAGAGTCTAAATTACATAACAGAGTTGCCAGGGAGCTTGTAGGTTATCCTGGCAACACTACAGCAAAACAAATACTTGACTATGAAGAATCTTGGCTGATCACAGGCATTCTGACTGGTAATTGCGAAATACAGAAACATCTGCACTGCAAGGGGAGTGGAAACAAGAAGATAAGACCATCGACCATATCCTCTATGATTGACCGGCACTCTCATTTATTAGAAAATTTGTGTTCGACGAGAATTTGCTAACAGCAGCTGATATAAGAGAAGCACCTCTTGGCTGCATTGTCAACTACATCAAATCTGTAGGCTGGGTCACGAGCTAGGAGTTACCTATCGACTTAGAAGGATGCACAATGGGTCTAGTGAGGCTTAAGTGCCCTCTACACATTACATATTATACATAACAGGCAAGTGTTTCAGAATTTTCTTTGCATCTCAAGAGTGAGAATGTTTTCTTTCTGTTATTATAGGTGGTTTCGGAAGAACTACATTCAGTAGTGGCCATAGAGAAAACTAAATGTTTTTGTTTTAAATCAAGTTTTGTATATGATAGCATTTTTAATTTATTTAGTGGCAACAAAATTGGATTAATATGTTTTTGTTGAATATATCAGAAACCGGCCCCAATAATTTGAGTTTCAAAACGTCCTCTGTTTGAACTGGAAAAAATACAACTCTTTCCATTTCACCAATTTTGAGTAACATATATAGTTTATGAGACATTTTAATTAAAAATGGTCACCATGCATTCGTATGTATATAGTCATGTAATGGTGTATATTTATTATTCAGGTTAATTCGGTAAAAAAATACTTGGATTTCTTGCAACCGAACATATTAGTTTTTTTTTTAACTTTTATAGTTAAGAACTGGTTTATTGATATAAAACGATAAAGTCAATATCTACTTAATAGGAGATGCATTGAATGAATTGTTTTATTCTTTTTTTACTTTGTTTTTTTATATTAATATTGTATTGTTTTTTAAGTATTATTTTTAACATTTTATAGAACTGAACCTTATTGAATAAAGCAAAATTTATAAAACTCACATTTTTTGTGTTAATTTTCACTGAAAGTACTGCGTTATGATTAAGTATAGATACAGTTTGGTATTTAGAAAAAATGTTATTTAACTTCCACTTTTTTACATATTTTAACATGTTTCCGACCACTAAAAAACGAAAAAAAAAATCAAGTCTGATCGTCTGTTCATGCTATATGTGTGCCGACACGATAACTCTAAAACGAAAGCTACGATCGATTTGCAGTTTTCCATTTACTTGATCATTTCTTCCAATACAGAACCCCACTGATTTTCAGAATTTTCTATTTAATTTTAGTGCTTTAAATATTATTTTTTTAAGATCTGGAGCTTATTGTATGTACTGCAGCACGGTTACTGATTCAAGTTTAAGTAAAATAAGTGTGAATCTTAAATAACATACGCGATGGTAACAATTATTTTTACAAAAATTTTTACGAATTCACTTGGACTCTTTTCTAAATTTGATAATATTAAAATTAAAGTGCCAAATTTTTATACATGGTCAGGCATACTACGGTTCAAATAAGATGCCAAATATTTTTACTTGGACAGACTTTTAAGGGGTGTAGTGTTCAAATATTTTTACATGGGCAGGCTTAAGGAGTAAATGGCTCAAATATTTTAACATGGAAAGGTGTAAGTGGTAAAGGGAATTTCGCATGGACAAGAATAAGGGCTAAAGGGACCAAATATTTTTACATGTACACGATTAAAGTATAAATGAGCCAAATATTACATGGGCACGTATAAACTGGCTTCCCATGGCCCGTGATATTGCAGGCCGCGCCAACAAGCTATAGGAAGGGTGCCGCCCGAAGTAGCTCGGGAAGTTTCGTGAAGGTGCACCCAATCAACTGAGAGTCTCTCTTCAAAGGCTGCGACAAACCTGAGGCTGATCTAACACGATTAGACGATTGCCATATGGTGATGTCACGAATTGAATCACCTCAGGAAGATGGCTAGGAAAAACTTTAATAAGGCAAGAACCACAAAACTCGAAGAAGACTGGGATACTTACAAATCTCACCTCACAGAATACAAAAAAATCGTCAGACAACAACAGAAATGCATGAAGATCCTACTGCGAAGAAATTGAAGATTTTCCGCTGGCAGCGAGGCTTAAAAAAGCCCTTTCAAGAGATCCACACTGCAGCATTAGTGCACTAATCAAAGAGGATGACAAAAACTGCAAACCTCAAAGCTAGCATCAAACTTCTGTTGTCAACACACTTCCCTGACTCGGTCATCACAGACATGGCCGACTGGACAGAGGAAGAATACAACCCATCTGTCTACGATTGGCAAACTTCCAAATCCATTGTAGACGATGACAAAATTAGATGGGCAATATCTGAGGGTATCTATCCAGCCCTACTTTAGTGGGATCTGGAAGAACTCACACCGCACCTGGTAAGTATATTCAGATCCTCGTTGGTCTTGAGGTACATCCCATAGAAATGGAGAGGTAAAATTGGTCTTCATACCTAAACCTGGAAGGATGGATTGCACTGTCCCAAAAATATACCAACCAATTAGTCTGATTTTGTCATAAAGACATTGGAAAGGCTATGCGAAAGGTATGTGATTACAACTACGCCCAAATCAACATGCATACACCCCAGGCAGATCTACTGATTCAGCCCTAGTTGCTGGCCGGATAGAGACATCCTGGACAATAAGGAGTTTGCCTTGGGTGTTTTCACAGACATAGAAGGTGCTTTTGAAAAAAAAAAACACCTTCCCCACGATAATATACACTTACTTACCAACTGGAATGTTCCACATATGGTTAAAAGGGTGGATAAATAACATTTTAATAATAAATTTATATAAATATTTTGTTTTATTTGAAATGTTCATGTCTCGATTGAGATTTCACTATAGCCTCAATTTCAGCCTCTCTGTATTACATTACACAATGTGTGTCCACGGATGGACTTAATTATACTTGTAAAAATATTTATTTTAAATTAAAAAAAAAAGTTATTTTTCATAATTTCTCAATGTGAATCGAATTTATTTAACAAGCAAAAGAAATTATGAAGAATTACTTTTTTAATTTAAAATAAATATTTTCACAAGTACATAGAACGTTTCAGAGCAACTTTCGGGGTAAGTACCGTAAAAGTGCTAGTGTGATGTTTTTCGAACTTCACTTTGTAACTTCTGTGAGATGTGCTATAAAAGTCTTGCCGTTGCGGACATTCGGTGGTTGCAGGGATATTAGGGTTACATTAAAAGTACATCGCATGGGAGCTTAAAGAGCCTTAAATTGCAGCTTATTTACGTAGATGGGATGTTTTTGTGCTAGCTGGGTACTCTCAAAGCAAGCAGTAAACATAAGTGTAGAAGTTGTGAATAAAAGAGGCTTGGTTGCAAGGGGATGTCCACAGGAAGGGGTGCGATCACCTCTACTGTGGAACATGGTCCTCGACACTCTCATCAGCAGCCTAAATAATGTCAGTCACCACACAATAGCGTATGCAGATGACCTGATGATTTTGCAAATTAATCAGTTATAAGTTACATAAATAAGATATTTAGATTACAAAGATTGATAAGATGATAAATCTGCTGATTTGATGTAATTAGTAAGTATTACCAATTTAATTTAATATTAGGTGTTAGGGACTGTGTTTATATCATATGTTTTCTAGTATAATATTTTAATTTTAGATCGATTTTCAATTCTTTTTTATTATATTTGTAACAAAACATGTGTCTGATGGCCTGATGTGTAAAGCTAAATCTCGTTTGAATAAGTATTCTAATATTCAACAAGCTGGTTATTTAAATAAATTTTTTTTTCTTTTTACTTCCAATATTAAAATTCGCGAGAACTGGTTTAAGAATTTAATTTAACTTTAGATAATAAAATTGGCAATTTTTTTTAAGATCATTTTTTGCCAGTCTTTAGTATAATTGTTTCAAAACGTAAACGACTAATTGCAAATTATGTACCAATTTTATTAAATATAGTACATTCAGTTCAACCCCAGACAGCACACCAAATCCTTTGGATATCTACTGAACATCCCAATATCCACTGAATGTCCAGTCCATGGTAGATATATATATTTTATATCCATGAGATGTAATTTATAGACATGCAAATGTCCATAAATAATAGTAATTATATAGCAAATTATTAAAAAATTACGCCATTGTGCTCGCCATTGTGGCTAATAGTACCGTTCAGATATTTAAAATTAATTTTTTTTAAGGTGTATTCAATATCCCATGAACATCCTCTAAATATATCAAAGTCTAGATGTTATTTGATTCTGCTTACTAAGTATAGATGGCGATGCCACTATCGCATCTACTCATGCTCGACCCGCCGTAATAGAGTTCGATCGAAATTTTTGTCCTACAGACTCCATTAGAGACTGGAGTCGAGAATTTCCATTTATTGGTGAAGAGTCCTAATAAGGATGACTTTCTCCTTAGTGGGCAAAATCAAAGGCAGAGTGTTGAAAATATTTTTTATCTCTGCTATTTTCTTTTGACGTTATTGAATAATCATTGATTACTTATGAACCTCTACTAAAGATACTCATAAAATAGTTTGTTGAATATCCGAATATCTTCTATATCCTGGGATGTAGACGGACATTTGGTTGGATATCCATATTGGATATATTGAATATCCACAAAATATATATTCTGTGGATATCTCTGGGATTTCTTGTATTTTCTGGAAGATACCCATTAGATATTTTGCTGAATATCCATAAGGATATCTTCTATATTCTGGATATAGACGGACATTTGGATATCCGATTATATATAGATCCACGGAATATTTCTGATATCCTGTAGATATATTGGATATCCACAAAAGATATTCTGTGGATATCTCTAGGATATGGTGTGTTGTCTGGGACTATACTCAACCCGATAGAGTCTGATTTTAAAAAAAGGTGAGGCCGAAGCACATAATATCACAGCAGCATAAGCTAGATTTGCTAATCCGCAATAAAAAACAAGAAATTAGTTGCAAAAGCATTAGTGATGAACAATTTAAACAACCCTCCAAACGGAGACAAACTGCCCAGCTAGCACAAAAACATCCCATCTACGTTAATAAGCTGCAATTTTAGGCTCTTTAAGCTCGCATGGAATGTACTGTTAATGTAACCCTATCATCCCTGCAACCACCGAATGTCCGCAACGGCAAGACTTTTATAGCACATCTCACAGAAGTTAAAAAGTGAAGTTCGGAAAACATCACACTAGCACTTTTACGGTACTTACCCTGAAAGTTGCTCTGAAACTTTCTATAGATGTTATAATGTGAATTCATTCTACAGCATTATACAGTGTGTCCACGGATGGACTTAACAATACTTGTAAAAATATTTATTTTAAATTTAAAAGTACTTCTTCATAATTTCTTTTGCTTGTTAAATAAATAGGATTAACGTTGAGAAATTATGAAAAAGACCTTTTGAAAAATTTAAAATAAATATCTTTACAAGTATAGTTATGTCCATCCTTGGATACACTATATTCAAAATAGTATATTGAGGATATAGTAAAATCTGAAGAAAACAAAATAAAAAATTGTATAAATTTATTATTAAAAAGCCTTTGAAATCAAGAACCAATATCATACAAGTAGAGGTAGGTATTAATAATATAGGTAAAAATACACTGACAAATTGGACAAAAGTTGGTATAAAGGGTATATAAGGAATATCTCAAAGGTTCACTAGAATCGAAAACACTGAACGCTTGCACGAAAGAGTATAATAAGGTACCTATATTGCAAAGGTTCACTGGTAGCTAAAATGGTGCACAATTGTACAAAAGTAGTAAAAAGTGTATTTATATAAGGTATATTTCAAAAGTCACTAGATTTTTATTAAGATGGCAGTTGTAGGATGCTACAAAAAGATATTTGCCTACAACTGGTACTAATCATAGTTTTAATATGATATAAACTGAATATTGATAAATGTAAAGTCATAAGGTTTAATAAAAC